CAACAGTAGAAAACCCAACAATCCAGAAACCTTTACAGGTGGAAAAGACTTTGGGAAGTTTTCTCTTACACCTTTACCACCCCAGGTAAGGGGGAAAGGCACCAAGGAGATGCTAGAAACCTTAAGCAATGTGATAACTGTAGAGGAGTGTTTTTTCAAGTTGTTCTCTGTGGGGGTTTTTCTGTTTGTTGGTTTTTAATATTTTCCAAGAGCCTTCCAATCATTTGCGTCAGAGCAGTCTTACAAAGGATTTTATTTTATTTTATTTTTTTAAAATATATTTTATTGATTTTTTACAGAGAGGAAGGGAGAGGAAGAGAGATAGTTAGAAACATCGATGAGAGAGAAACATCGATTTAGCTGCCTCCTGCACACCCCCTACTGGGGATGTGCCTGCAACCAAGATACATGCCCTTGACCGGAATCGAACCTGGGACCCTTCAGTCCGCAGGCCAACGCTGTATCCACTGAGCCAAACCAGTCAGGGCCAAAGGATTTTATTGTTGCTATTTTATGGCTAAAATGAGTAGATAACAAAAATTAATTGCATAATAACATCACACATCGTAAAAGGCTTTGCAGTATGCAGAGCACATTCACTCATCTATCTCATCTCACTTGATCCACATAACTACATTCAAACATTGCTAAGCAAGGTCGTGAGGTAGACTTCTTAGTTAGGCTAGGGCTAGGACCTCTTCATTTGAACCCAACCTCGGGGTTATTTCTTTCATAGGCTACTGTGCGTCTGTTGAACCTGTAAATAAATGGGACGTGGGTGGTGGAACCAACATTTAAATCCCTGAGATTTAGCCCAGGTAGCTATTTGTGGTCTCCAGGTAGAGCTTAAGCAACAGAACACAGAGGAACAAACTTGATAAAACGTTTGCGGTTTAATTTAGCTGAAAAAATTAAAAATTATTTTAATTAAATTAATTGCTATTGTATCCTATATAACTGTACCTGGTATTAGTACTTCTTGCCAGTTTTGCTGTTAGAATTGGCATAATTGCTTTACAAGTTTTGTTATTTGTTAAATTAAAGGTTTATTTTTGTATCTCATGTTTAGTATCTGGAATAGAGCAGAAAAATTATGCCTGTGTTCCCTGGGGACTCATTGGAAATTGTACAGTGACATCTTCTGGGATTTAGTCTGGTGAGTTATATTTTGCCTTTTCTGTTTGTTAACCAGTTTTATAAACATATCATAATGTGTTTTAAGAATTACATGAACTGATAAATGTGAAATCTCAGTATATTACTGCAAAGATGTATATTATAATTATGAAAATTTTAATTATTAGATTTTTATTTAATTAGTTAAATTTTAATTGAGAACTGAAATTATTGTTGCAAAATGCTAACATATTTGAAAATTCCTTTTTTAATTCCTGTAAGATAAACGAGGTCTTATGGAATATTTCATAATATAGTAGTTAAGAGGTAGTTGCTCTAATTTCAAGGAAATTTTAGTAAAAACGATAGTCTCCAGAGACTGGCAAAAAGTTCTAGTGTATATTATTGTACATAAAGAATGGCAAGCAGGTGACTGAAAGAATATCATTTTCACTTAGTTGGATAGCAGTTCACTGCAAGTGTGACATTCCTTTTATCACACCATGAATTTAAACTTAAAAATATGCAATGCTGTTGTTTTCCTTTAGTTGTCTTTTTTCAGTCTGTGTATCTGTGCTGACACAGTTGTTCATATGGCTCCAAGTCTTTGAAGGGGGAAAAAAACTAATAATGACTCTGTAACTCTTTAGCATTTTATAGACTAGACTAGTGTGAATTCATGCTTTGGTGTGACATCCTACTAGGCCAATATCTTTATAAGTCCTTTTTTCAAACTACTTCGAGTGGTTATAATCTTTTAAAAAGGCAATTTCATGATAAATGATTTCCAGATGATCAGTCAGCCCCAGAATGAGTCAAAGGGACAATGGGGAAACACAAACAGTTTTGTTTGTTAAGTAGATATAGCTTAACAAATCTATGAAAATGCATTTTAAAACATTGAAAAAATGGAAACATTACTAATATTTTGTTTTGAAGAAAAGAGCAAGAAGTTTAACATCAGAAGTACAAAGTACTTTTAGAGGATGTTAAATAAGAATGTGGCTGGGTCACTGGCTCATAAAACTGAAATAAAGCACAAAATTTGGTCCTCCAATTTTTAAAATTCTTCAAATTGTATATTCTCAGAAACAGAAGGTATCTTAATGGTTGCCCACTCTATGTTTGAATACCTTAAGTGACAGGTCACTTACTACTTCTCAAGTTGGTTCATTTCCCCTTTTGCAGCTCGGCTAGAATGTCCTTCTGTTTACATATATAACTACATCTATAACTGTGTGTACATATGTGTACATATGTATACATATGTATCTGGAAAGATGTAGATACTCACACACTCTTGTAGCTACAGGAATAGAAAATTCAGAGGATCATCAAAAAACTTGGAAATATGTCACAGCTTATTTTATTTTTAAAGTCAGACTTATTAAAATATAATTTATATACAGCAAAATTCACCCTGTTAAGGTATAGAGTTTGATGAGTTTTGACAGATATAATCAATTGTGTATTGACCACTTCAGTCAATATAGAAAATACTGTCACCGCCCTCCAAAAATTCCCTTTACCACTTTGTAGTTCATCCCCTTCCCCCAACCCCATCCCTAGGCAGCCATTGATTGATTTCTGTGCCATAGTTTTGCATGTTCCAGAATGTCATGTAAGTGGAATCACACAGCATGTAGCATTTTCTGTCTGCTCCTTTCACTGACTGTAAACCTAGATTGCTCCTTTCCATTGCCGAATGGTATTTTATTGTATGGACGGAGCACAGTTTATCCATTTTCCTGTTGGTGGACGTTTGCTTTGTTTCCACGTTTGATGATTATGAATGAAGCTGTTGTAAACGGTCACATTCAGTTATTTGTGTGAACATATAGTTTCATGTGTCCTAGGTTAATATCTACAAGTAGGGTACGTGGGTTGTTTAGTAATCATTTATTTAAATTTGTAAGGAACTGTCAAACTGTTTTCCAAAGTGGCTGTACCTGAGGCTTCTGAGAAGCTAAAATAACTGCACCAAAGTGTATGTAGATGAGGGACCTGATTCTCATTCAGCACAGGTTTATTTTTATTTTGTATCCAGTTTTAACAAGTTTGGTTAGCAGATTTATTTAAAACCCACAGTGTATTAGGAACAGTAAACTTGAAGGCCTTAGGAATAGGTGTTAGCAATTGGTCCCTAATCTGATGGTCACTGATATGACTAATACTATTGGTTTAAAAAAAAAAAAAAGGTGGGGCCAGAACTCATAGGGGTGAAATTCTTCTGTCTGACAAGGTCCCAGACATGAAGGTTTCTTATAATCACCTGGCGATCTTTTACAATTCAGAGCCCAGGCGAATTAAGTCACGATCCGGGTAGAGCACAGACCTCAGTGTTTTTTTGCAGCTCCTTAGATGATGTCAGTGTAGGCAGGGTTGGAACCACATGGTGGTTAGAAGCACAGCAGCAGGATGAACTCAGGAGCACTGAACTTGGAGCCAGCAGCCTGGGACTGCCTGCCTGGCTCTGGGCAAATCCCTGCCTTGTGCCTTCAGGGTTGTCTGCTCTGTAATCGGAGGTTCCAGGTAGGTGAACTCCAAGATGATTCTGCACTACAATGTGATGGTTCTTGATATTATTAACCTCATAATAGCCATGCTTAAGAGACTCCATTTCCCAAGCAATGGCTCTATTCTGAACAGTTTGTTTCAGGTACCTCTTAAACAGAATTCTGTTCACATGATGCCATTTTCGTTCAGTATATTTTAGACAGTTATGTTATATCTGTTTTCTCTTAAGTGATATTGCTGTAGGTTTCTAAAAACAGTTCAAGCATATGGAGCAGTTTTTTTTGTTGTTGTTACTGAGGGTGACTTTTTTTTGATAAGCCTGATATAAAAAAAAATTCAGTACTTCTTTGTATAACAGTTGTGAAACTTATCAGCTATTTTCAGAGATGGTCTAAGGACTAAGGCATCTAGGTTATATTTTAAAAATGTTGCTCCTTTTGCCAAATGTATAGGGAGTTGTTCAGAGCTGATCAGTTGCCATACAGGTCACAGTGCTTTAAATGTGCTCATCTTGGTGCATCAGGTTCCCCTGCATGTGTACTGAGGTTTGGATATTTGCTTTAGTTTCAGCCAAAATTCCCAGTGGCGTGCTGCACCCATTGTTTTTAAAATGTGCACTGTGTACATTTTTCTGGTAAATGTTAAAGTGTTACTTGTCTCATGTTGTCTAGTTTGAATCCTCGTATATTTCAAGGAAATATAGTGGTACCTGTGAACATGGCCAGGTCTTTCATATGTGTTATAAATGTACTTCAGTATCATTGCTACTGATTGGACTGTGAGAGAATGTGATATTGAAGAACCTTAGGTGTCATTTGAAGAATTACGTTTGTTCCTGGTACTTGTTTAAGAAACTGAGTTTTAAAAGCATTGTTCAACTACAAGTTGACTTTTGTTTCTTTTTCTGTTTTAGACTCTTCTATCTACTACAATCTTGCTGCTTCTGTTATTATAACAACACCTTTTCTGTTTCCTGTTGCCAGTGTTTATTTTTGCTTTTAACTATCCATGAAAGGCACTAATGGAAGACATAGGGTATTGCTGGTTTCTGACTTTTAGTGCTCTGCATTGCAGAAGTTAGCATTGGACCTGAGTTAGCATTGGACCCGATTTCTCAGTTCACATTTATTCTTATTGCTGCACTGGGGGTGCTGCCTGTTGCACATATCTGCATTGTATACCAGAGTGCTTTGTAATCATTTATCTTGCAAGCATGCTTTTTTTGATACAAGGTTATTTTAGAATATGAAACAAATGCTTAGTCGTGAATAAGTTTGTTAAAAACTTACAAGCAGATTTGTCATGGTAAAATGTGAAGAATTTGTTGCTAAAACACAGGCCATCTCCAGTTGTAGTCATTCATTCCCGATGGATGACTTTTAATAAGAAATTTTGCAGTCTAAAATATTGGACATCCATATATCAAGATATGCTGACTTTGAGATCATTAGGTCTTTACTACCTTAAGCATCACCCTTTTTATGTAGATTTCCAGAATTAGAAAATACCTAGACTTCCTCTATTTCAGGTAGGACAGTACATATGCCACTTAGAGAAAGTTGATTCTGTAACTACTGTCAGGTTCTTGCCCCAATATTTAAATCCAGTCAGGAAATTATCAGGAATTTAACCGCATAGAAAGTTTTTCTTTTCAGTCACATTGAAGAAGTTAGCATTCCACCCAGCTCAAAATGAAATATTCTCCAGTCATTGTTCCCTTGTCTGAAACCCAAGGCTCCACATAATGGATGTTCTTTAGAAAGGCAATATGTAAGTGGAAAGGATCTTAAAAAAAAAATCTAAGCAATTTGTAGAAGTTCTGGTTGTACCCTTCTCATTCCTACTTCAATATCTGGAGCTGGAGATGTTCTTGTACATATGACTACCCTATAGAGACCAATGGAACCACCTAAAAGATCTATTAGTTTTGAGACTATGCTATAGTTTGGAGAGAAGTATTGATGCTTTATAGCTAAAAAATGCAAACAAATTTTCAACCCTTAGAATTATTCACTTAGAGATGTTCACTGTATATTACAGCTATGTATGTAAAGATTTAGAACGAGCATTTTCGTGTTCCAGATTCACTTAGAGATGTTCACTGTATATTACAGCTATATATGTAAAGATTTAGAACGAGCATTTTCGTGTTCCAGTGCAGCAAGACTCTGGTTCAGAAATTTTACATTGGGTATTGACCTTAGTTACTTATTTGTGAAGAGGGTATTGGCAGTGCTTATTTCTTTTAACTTTTTTGTTAAATCATGTTTTCTACCTGGAGTATGTTGTTCATGTCATTCTAGTATGTTGGTTTCTTATACCAGACCGCTTGGTTGAAATTTCCAGAGTTCTTAAACCACATCTAATTGAGAATGTAGGTTAAATCATTGTCTGTCAGGTGGATGCCTGAAGATCCTGTTGGTTATTTTACCCACACCAGGTAATGTTTTTTATGGTGTTTTTGGCTGCTGGAAACTTAACCAGTGATAGTTTTCATCTAACAGTGATATCTAGTTCATGCCACACATTGCCTCACTCCACTTTTCTAATTTTCTAGGTACTTATTTTCTAGTTGCTATGTAACTTTTGCCTTTTATTCTCAAACCTTTGTATCCTACCGTCATTTATCCTTAACCCTGAGAGATTCTAGGAATTCCTGATGGTCTGCCTTGATGCAGCAGGATTGACTTCATGCGGGAACGCATTTTTGATGATCCTATTGTCCACTATTCTTTCCTGTGACTTTGTACACCATTAACTTGCTTAGCAATTTTTCTCCCTCATAGGGAAAAAAAAAAGTGACTTTCAGCCTAGCCTCTGTTTGAATTATTACCCAATTCAGAATGGGTGGGATGTGAAACACGGATTTTAGGAAGTTCATAATACACCAAGTGCAAATTCTGTAAGGTGGCTGGTGGAAATCCTTGGACTGTCATAGACTGCCAGATTTGGAAGAGACCTGGGCCAGTGCCACTTAACGCGACTGATGCTTGAGTGTCACCACCCGGGTAACTACTCGGGAGGGCGCTCAGTCTGTGTGTTTGCTCCCTTGCCTCCACAGCCCTGGTTGTTTGGGCCTCACTGACCCTCCTCTGCTTGTCTTTTCAGAATAAAGTATCAGAATCACTTCTGCCTGTCAGGTTACACAGGTTGGAGGCCTTCCGATAAGCTGTTCCCTTGTGCTCTTATCTGGATAACAGAATTCGCAAGAAAGGGAGGGTTAGTTTGTCATTTGGCTTAGAGTAAACATTTGTTTCTTCAGCATAAAATTGGATGAAGCTTCAGACGGCCCTCTGAAGTTTATGAGATGAGAAATCTTTAGGTTTTGGTATGCAGATCAAAGTAGCCGGTAGTCACCTACTTCCATCCTCTCCGTAGAGAAATAAATTACACAATCAAATACAAATTTGTCTTTACAGTAATAAAATAGAAAAAGCCAATTACTTTAAATCTAGAAGGGTTGAGAGGCTAAGGTGTTTTGGTTAAATTAAAATTGTAAATACTCTAAGATTTAGAGTACAATGTAAGTAAAACTATATTGATCCCTTTAGCATTTGTTTTAACTCAGGAATTAAACTTAATTTTCAGTTGACATATAGATGTGGACTGTCGTAAAGGCAGGATGGCATCTGGTAACTTCATAGTCTTGGTTTATTTATTTTCTAATGAAGGAAGTGCAGCATGCAAATGAAGGAATAAGGTTGTGACTTTCTTTAGGTTTCTAATTGCTTGGATTAAAAAAAAATGTTTTAATTGGCCCTAGCTGGTTTGGCTCAGTGGATAGAACATTGGCCTGTGGACGGAAGGGTCCTTCCTGGGTTTGATTCCAGTCAAGGGCACCTACCTGGGTTGCAGGCTCCTCCCCGGCCCGGGCCCTGATAGGGACTCGTGCAGGAGGCAACCAATCGATGTGTTTCTCTCACATTGATGTTTCTCTCTGTCTTTTCCTCTCTCTCCCACTCTTTCTAAAAATCAATGGAAAAATATCCTCAGGTAAGGATTTAAAAACTATATAAATATATGTTTTAATTGATTTCAGAGACAGGAAGGGAGAGGAAGAGTGGGATAGAAACATCAGTGATGAGAGAGAATCATCGATGGGCTGCCTCTTTCACACCCCCAACTGTGGATCGAGCCTGTAACACGGGCATGTGCCCTGAGTGGACATTGAACCGTGACCTCCTGGTTCATAGGTCCATGCTCAGCCTCAGAGCCACATAGGCCGGGCTCTAATTGCTTGGCTTTTAAACAGATACCCAGATTTTAGGAAATGCATCAATTAGGAAAAGGTTTTGTTTTACAAAAGGATTCATAAGAATTATTTAATATAATAACCTTTTTCAATAAATATTTAATCTTAAAATCAATTACTACATGACATGATTATAGTAAGCAATCTGACATACTTAAAACTGTGTTATCTACATCTAATTGAGGATCAAGTAGAAATAAACTTTCTCAGAAATGCCATTGTCATTCAGGTTCCCTTAGTATTTTATTTTCCAAAATTTGATTTATCTGTGATTTTCTAGAATCTGGCCATTATTTGTGGTACTTCTTGTCAATGAGATTTCCAAACAATGTAATGAGATTATTGTGATGAATAATATTAGTATTCTTCATTCATTATGAATTCTTCTGCCATTTACTAAATGGTTCAAAAGTGTAGTGTCCTAGATGGCATGTTTTATGATTAAATGTTCTAAAATAACATCTGATATTTTATATATGTTTCATATTAAAAATGATTTGTTGTATTTAGGATTAACTTTTAAAGTACAAAATGGTTAATTTTGCGTAATTCATTGGGAACATGGAAGGAGGAACATTTACAAGGTTTGGGGGAACCTTCCACTGAGACTTCGCCTTACCATAGAAAAGCTTTTTAGGCGTACATTGAATCTTTGCAGAAATGGATTAGCTTTTATCGTTTTCATTATATGCCCCGTAAACACAGTTGAAAAGAATTGCAGGTTGAAGAGCTGAGCACGTATTTTTAATCATATGATGGAAAATGAAAAGATTTTAATTTTCATATTGGAAAGAGTTTGTAGATTCTTGTGAAACTGTGTATGATTATTCTTATTTGCTTAATGTTGAGATCTGTATTTGATTTGCTTAATATCGCTTCAAGTAGTAAACTTGGCATGATTGAATGGAGCACTGGTTTTAGAGAAGTATTGTTACCTGTAGGCTTCTCCTTACTTTCAACTTTAATTTAACCTGCCTTGAGTTCCTAGAGGCAGAGAAGTAGTAGTCATTTCATGCCTGCTCTGGAACGTGTAGTAGACAGATAAAAATCTGTCCAATGTACATTGGCTGTTTTCCAGGCCAGAGTTACTTCATGCTCCTTCAGCCTTCTAAAATGACCCAGCTTGGACCAAGGTTCTGCGCGTTACACTCTTCTAATCTGTCTGTCTACTTTTAGGAGTGTGCAGACTGGTGCCTAAAATGGAAGTAGATGTTAATGGAGAGGCCAGAAGTACCCTGAGCACCCTGCCCTTGCCCGTGGCTGAGGTGAGCTCCCCAGGGAAGGCAGAGGCCGAGAAGCCCCGCTGCTCCAGCACACCGTGCTCGCCGATGCGCCGGACGGTCTCAGGCTACCAGATCCTCCACATGGACTCGAACTATTTGGTTGGCTTCACTACTGGCGAGGAACTCCTGAAGTTAGCCCAGAAGTGCACAGGAGGTGAAGAGAGTAAGGGAGAAGCTGTGCCTTCCTTGCGCTCCAAGCAGCTGGATGCAGGACTTGCACGTTCCTCTCGTTTATATAAAACCAGAAGTAGGTACTACCAACCGTATGAGATTCCAGCTGTCAATGGCAGGAGGCGAAGGCGGATGCCCAGCTCAGGAGACAAGTGCACTAAATCTTTACCTTATGAACCTTATAAGGCCCTCCATGGGCCCCTGCCTCTTTGTCTTCTTAAAGGTAAGAGGGCTCACTCCAAATCTCTGGACTACCTCAATCTAGATAAAATGAGCATCAAGGAGCCAGCTGACACAGAAGTGCTACAGTACCAGCTTCAGCACCTAACCCTCAGAGGGGACCGTGTGTTTGCTAGGAATAACACATGAATGACCTGCGGAATGTGTAAACCAGTTTATGACAGCCTACACTCGGCCAGAAAAAGCCCACTGTTGGACTCTGTACAGGACTCTCCACATTATAGATGGTTATATCTGCTAAGTGTTCCAGGAACATAAAAATTGTTCGGATCAAATTTGAATACAGAAATAAAATCACAGGTACTTGGGGAGAAATCATTCTAGAGCACGCAACTACAAAGAAAACAGAATGTTGACCATTAGTTTGTATAGCTTTTTAGCTGGGAAAAAAGGCTTGGTACGGTAAGATCTTTATGATCCTAACGCTCGAAATGGGAATGCTATCTGCTCGGTTGTTGCTGACATGGTATGATTCATTAGAAATTCTTATCTTAAGTACTCAAGTACTTCTTTAATCTCTGTATTTTACTATACAATGTATGTCATGATTTGTTTTATGAAATTTAGAACTTGAACATTGCTGAATTTTGGACCACTTTTTATTTTTAAATATTGAGTTTAAATATTTTATAACTGGTTTTGCACTGGAAAAAAAAACAACAACTAACATTTCCAATTGACACAAGAGCATAATCTTTCTTCACTTGCCTCAATAATATTATTGAGCAATGAATTTTTTATTTCCGCATGGAAAGTTACTGATCTCTATGGCTGTAAAATATTTCTTTATAGTGTTAACATGTCTTAATAAAATTAAATTTGGGATACAAAGTATTTATTTTACAATAGGTGGGGGGAAGGGGAAGCTTTTCCAGAAAGTTTCCAATATGAAGTTTTCATGAGTTGAAAAAGTTTCCTTTGGGCTTATTTTCTAATTTAAAATTCATCTGGAACTTTAAAATGGAAAGGATTCTTTTAATTGTGGATTATAGGCATAATACTGTTTGCATCTGAATGTTCTGTAAGTGAATGGAACTTTAATAGAGGAATTCATGATTTCTACTATCGAATGCTTAATCAAAGTATGAAGTGATACCATTCAGCATGGCATCGGGTCATCCCAGTTTTAGGTTTTTGCCGCGCAAGCACTCATTGAAATTCCAGTTTCTAGGATTAGTGTAGGAGCCTAAAGTGCTCTGCAGATTTAATAGGTTAAACCTGGATTACTTACCAATTTATGTCAATTGCACTGGTTTAATTTGTTGCTAAAGAAATACTGTCCTGGCTTTAGTAACAAATACAGCTCAACTATTCTTGAATATATTTTGAAAAAAAAATGTATGTCACTTACCTTTTTTAAAAGTTTCTATTTCTTTTATTTTTTGACTCTTGAAGGTGCAATTTATTACTGAATTGGCATTTCTGGCAGCATAGAACTGCTTATTTTAAAGTTTATTTTGGGGGCTGTGAGTTTCTTGGGTGTTAGCACTCTTGCTTATAAAATAAGAACACCTTTTAATTAATGAATGGGCCATTCCTGGTGCAGTTGTGACTTTTCTTTAGCCGGAATGAATGGCAAACTATTTAGAGCAGAATAAGTATTAGAAACCCCTAGGAACTCTTAATCAACATTTATTCTGCTTTCACTGAGGCAGACCTTATGAAAGAACCTTGGTGAAGTTGGCCCATAACTTACTGATTTGATCAGATTTCTTGGTGGGCTGGAAATTTTCAGCTGTTGATACTTTAATGTAAATTGCACCTTTGTAACATATTGACAAATGGTCACTAAGATTAACCATCTCTATACAGTCATTAGTTTGACAAGAAATAGAATCCTGTCAGATGCCAAAGAGTTGGGATTTTTACGTTTAATGATTAGACATCGTTATTTATTGATGATTTACCCTGTGGAACTGTATTATTTCTAACTATGAAATAAAAGGGTGATGTAAACACACATTGTTGTGTGATGCTTTAAACGAGGTCCACCATCAATAGGCTGGTTGCCGTGCAAGAATTCCACCTAAGCACTTATTTTTAGGCCCTGTTTTTGTTTTGAAAAGTTACTTTTGGTGCTCCTCCACATTTCAAGGTAAAGGATGTATTCATGGCAATGATTGTATTCTGTGTACCTGTGAGAGCTGTCTCTGCCTGTGCACCTAAATAATTTCTTGAGCTAAATAAAAATATGTAGCTTTTTGTTTTGTTTTGTTTTTCCCTTAAAGACAAGTAAAACTCTGTGGCAAAAATGAATGGGTTAAAGTTGGAGATATGGCACATTTGCTATGTCTGATTAGTAAAGATGCATAACTTTTAAGTTTGATTTCCTAGAAAGTTTTGAAACTCTAGGTCAGTAGTTTTCAAAATGTGATTGCAGAGCCCCTTCCTTCATTCCTTCTTGGTTTCTCTGCACTCCATGGCCTGGTGCTCCTGTGGTAGATGCTGTCCTAGCGAGAAAAAAGGTTAGGCTGGGTCTCTTTTATCTGAAAAAGGTCCCATATCATTTAGTCTTTGAACGTGTTATGTTTTTGAACTCCCCCCACCATTTTTATTCAATTGAATATTCCATACTAAACAGAGCACACTTCTGGTCATATAGACTGATGATGTTATCTTCTAGTATTTGCCCTTAAATACATTGCAGTACCACAGAACTTTAAGTTTTCTTTTCAAAAATATGTTCTAGAGCAGCGGTCACCAACCGGTGGTTCACGGACGACTGGAGGTCCGTGAGGTCCGAAAGGTTGGCGACCGCTGTTCTAGAGGCCCGGCTGATGCATAAAGTAGCTCTAGAATTTCAGTCCTCGCCTCAGACTTGCTCCCCTGACTTCCATCCAGTTGCATGTGCACCTCTGGTTCCTGGGCTCCTCTGGCCTTCAGTCAGGGACCAAAAGACTCAGGGGAGAAATTAAAATCTAAACTCATTTGGAACCCAACATTTGGTTTCAGGGCCCATCACGTCCTGTCCATTGCCTATGATGCCCATGTGTGGGGCACTGTCTTTTCTCTTCCTTGAGATGCTTATTTCAATGATTTTAATATTTGGGGCTTGAGGAAGCTTTTTTTTTTAGAAGATTCTACATTAACTTTTAAAGGTAAACTGGCCTTTTCATTAAAGAAAGAACACTTCTTGAGATCTTGAGAAAAGCAACCTATTTTTAGTTATTTTCTCATTCTAACATACTTTTATTTCAGAAAGGCTTTTATTCCATTATAACCATTGACATTATTTCAAGGAAACTTTTCAATGACCTTGGCCTAAGCGTTTGTTCTCGGTCATAGAAAGTAGGAGAGACTGGCAAGCCCATTAATAGCAGGAATACTCTAGAAGAGTTGTGCTGGAGAGAGAGCAAGGGTGTGCGTTACAGGGTAGAGGGATAGCAAGTAGTAAGTAAAGTTGGCTTTTAAACAATACGATTTGATTAGAGAAAAATTGATGAAGATTGCCTTGGAAATATAATAAATGTGATTAGAAAGCCAGAAGTGGAGGTTGTCAGCACTTAATGATGCACTTCACTTTGTAATGTGCTTCTTTAAATAAGAAAAATGAGGGATTTTTCTGGCCAAGGAGAACAGTACTAGAAACAAATCAAGAATGGGTTTGATTTATTAGTTTGTTTGCCGAGCCCCTAGGACACTTTGTTACTCTAATGGAGGGGAGATGTTGAATTTGTCTTCTCATCATTGTGAAATGATTTTTTTTTAAGAGAAAAAGTCTAAAACCATATCTCCTAAATGTTGTCAACCCTGGTTTTGTGGTTGTCTTTGATGTACCAATTTTTGGGAGAGCACAGGGTGAGAAAAGAAACTCTAATCAGAAGAATGCAGCATCTATTGCAGCGGTTCTCAACCTGTGGGTCGTGACCCCTTTGGGGGTCGAACGACCCTTTCACAGGGGTTGCCTAAGACTATCGGAAAACACATATATAATTACATATTGTTTTTGTGATTAATCACTATGCTTTAATTGTGTTCAATTTGTAACAATGAAAATACATCCTGCATATCAGATTTTTACATTACGATTCATCACAGTAGCAAAATTACAGTTATGAAGTAGCAACGAAAATAATTTTATGGTTGGGGGTCACCACAACATGAGGAACTGTATTAAAGGGTCGCGGCATTAGGAAGGTTGAGAACCACTGATCTATTGGAATGAAAAAGAGTTGCTCCAGTCAGTGGAATCCTTAAGTGATCCTGGCTGGCTGGCTTCTGGAGCGAAGAGCTTTGATGCTTTTGCTTTTGTAGAAAAGCTAGCATCACTTTCAAAGTCCCTGCTGAATGCTCTCAAGAACATTCTTACCGTGTGACCATGGGAAGAGGAGAGGGCACTGGGTTCATGATGACCTGGAGGTCTGACTCACCAAGGGAGAGTATTTTCACCAAACTTTTATGTAAAGGGGTTACACATAGACATGTATTAGGAATACTTTGAATCATCTGTCTTTGGCCTAACACTTTAATTAGGAATAGGAACTTATGCAGGAAGACATTCTTGAAGTAACGGAAATTCAGATTTTGGCTAAGTGGTTAGAGCCAAGATGGCAGATACTGAGCATGCATACCACCATACACCTCACCAATCCGTGTGACAGACATGGCTAATCCGTCAGTGCACAGACTCTGAGTCCAGATGTGGCCTCATTATCTTTCTTAAACCAGCCCTTTAGAGTAGCTGCTACTGAATTGATCAGCATTACACTGGAGATAAAACCTGTTTGCCCACCACACACCCTACCCTCCCCACCCCCACCTCCTGCAATGGATTATAGTGTGAATTGGAAAATAGTCTGAACATTTTTGAATAGGAGACCATTCTGGGTCCTCTCTTCTAACCAGAGAACAGAGGAGAATGGTCTCCATAACCATCACCCTTAAGATTGATTTCACCTTCAAGGACATGCTTCTTGAGGAAGAGGAGGGCAAGGTGGCATTAGATAAATGCCAAATGAGTGTTTTGTAGAATAAATAGTAATT